AAAAAAAACATGTCGTTTCCCATCAAAGTCAAAAGATCGCACTACAACATGAACGTTTACCATGAAGTCGCTGAACTGTCATTATCATATTTAAATATGATACACGTTAGCACTATCCTGTATTTTGATTAGTTAATTAGCGACTTATCAGTCAAAGAACACGGGTCAAGTTTATGGTCAAAGTAATAATCAATAATTGCAACATTTCGAAAACAAGTAAGTTATTCACTTGTGAAATGCAGCATGACCGGATTGCACTACCATACCATGATCATTTGCTACTAAGCAATGCATTGTTGTTTGTTTGTTTTTAAACTTCAGTACAATGTACGGCCCGTAAAATATGCATTAGAAGCTGCATCCCTAATAGAAGTCGCAGCCAATCCCATTGTTTTGAATAATTGATTACCAAAAATTCATCATTTCTCATATGTGTAGCGGCTCTAATAGAAGCTGCATCCCCTCTGTTGCATTATACCATTTTAATAGAAGCAGCTGTTTCTAATACAGATTTTACAGTAATCAACACAATTGTTTTGGGGGGAATTAATCATTCATACAAAAATAACTGACCTGATTCAATAGTCTGTGCAAATAATTCTAGACCCTCATATCGCTGTGATTTGTCAGGCTGATGGTCTTTTCCAGATTGTTCTTCTTTTAGACATTCCTGTGCTATTTGTATACTAGTTGTCATGCCCATGGAGCTCCACATAGAGTCAAACATTCCTCCGGCTGAAAATAACACAGGTGTACTTCAATTGTAATAATACACGCATAATTTATTTCACTAGATGTACAAGTGTTCTAAGTGTGCACAAAAGAAAAACATTTTCTATGCCATTCTATCTACAAATGTACATCGTCACAAATAGAAGATAGTTATCACAAAGTCTCCATCATTTTAATGGGTACATCTGGGAGAAGTGGTTTATTATTATTCAGTGCATAGCAAGCCAAATACTGAGTACCCCTTCCTTGAAATGTAGAATAAATTAATGCAATCCTGAATTGCAACATTATTTTATTGATACTTTGTTATATTTTTACCCATAAAGCTGACACTTGATAAACGTCTCCCTTTAAAATACAGATAATGAGTTTTTTTCATTGCATATTATTCCCATAACAACAAATCTTTTTGAATCACAATGTAATAATAATATACCATGATTTTCCTCTGTGCGATAACGTGGTTGTAGAGTCAATTCCAGGCCATGAATCTCAATTTCACAGCTGTCGCTTAGCAACGCAGACCATGGTACACTTATAGATATGCTACCAATAATACCATCTATAATCTCCACTGGTGACTCAACACTTTCTAATAGTTCATTTAAAGACTGAATATTAAACAGAACAGAGAGAGAGAAACAAAATGATTACACACTGATTATTATAGAATAAAAACATTGCATTTATGACAACAATTCAATCATGAAAAATAATAGCAATAATAAAATTGTCTTTGAAACCTTACAAAATAGACATGCATCAAGATAATTAGATATGCATATTATAAACTAAACTTGATCTGAATATACTACAACATATGCAGTACATGTACATGTATATTCATTATAACACACACAAGCCAAATTATTCACTGTTGAACAGAAAATACAGCTTTAATACCCTGGGCTTTCTACGTCATTAGTACCAACTATTTTTATTGAGTTCCAGTTCTCGAAATAAACAAAAATAATCGTTTCTGACTTTAAACAGTGGTGACCGAAAATTATAACACTGAGACATTCGGTACAAGTTATTAAGGGTTTATTTAATGTTTAAATCTGACAAAATTAAATACATTGCACAAATAAAAACAAACAAAACAAAACAATATGTGTAACTATTAAAAAGGAAATAACTATTTCAGAAATAAAACCCCCTTGTTTTTTCGTTTATTTAATTTTGTACATTGTAGTTTTTCAATATTTAGCCAATGCAATACTATGATTGCATATTGTTATAAAGTTCCTTGATAATTTGTTTACCACATTTTGATTATTTCAACAAATATTGATTTGTACCTTCCAGAACAATTTATACTTATTTGTCAATTAATTTGTGATCCATAATTGCAATCTGAATCACATGTACAGTTTTCTTATCACTTTCAATTCTAAATTCAACTTTTTTACCATCCAAAAATGATTAAACCTACATAAGTTTTTTCAGACTTTTTCAACAATTGTGTTCATTCAATATCCCAACAGTAGTGCATGATGGGATTTATTGTAGTGAAACGGTGTCATAAAAACAGCTTTTAATGAAGTATAAATCACAAAGACTATAACTTTCAACTTCCAACTATGTTTTGCTGACAATAGAACTTTAAGTTGCCTTCAACAGTAGCGTATGCATTTGTGTAAAAAACAAAAGTCTATAGTCAAAATAAGTTGTATTTTAATGATCTAGCATAACCAATGTTAATAAAATAAATGTAACTGTTGTTTCTTTGTTAGGATAGGATAGGATAGGATATTTTGTTTGGAATGTACACAAAAACAATGCTTGAGTAAAGTCCAATATAAGAAACATAAAATAACACAACTAATCTAAACTACCGGTAAGTTTATTATTGTTACGGTAGTTATGTGAGCTTTTATTAGACATGTACATGTACTTCGAATAGAACTTATACAGTAATGTAAAATTACAATATTTGTCGAGAATATAGTTTAACATAATTTGTATTACAGGGAGTGGTATGGCATGCAAATGCAAACAGACTCCAATTGAATACTAGTATTAATTTGACATTTTACCCCTCCCTCACAAACACAATAAAATTTACAAAACAACACACACACACCCCCCATCATAATTGAATTATGCAAAACCAAAACAACCCTATTGTGGTGACAATTAATATTAATATAAATATAAACTGTAGTTGCACGTAATTTAAAGTATATCGATAGTTAGTGACATTTATATAACAAGGAAGTGGTGATAACTGCATTGTTTATCAACATATCGATTGCCCGTAATACGCTTTATCATTAGACGACCTTCGTTTCAGTTAGTGTTGATATTGCATCATGGATCGTCGCACAAGTTCTTTTCGAAAACGCTGATATTCCGAGGCAGTGGCACACTGAAATGACTGGTTATTATCAAGAAATGAGCCGCAAATACGACAATATGGTTCTACTCACGTAAACATCAAGTGCGACATCTTTGATCGTGCCTTTTCCATTGTACAGATCGACGCTCAGCTGATCCAGTGTCAGCTTCTCCTGCAGAAAATTTCCTAGGTAGTGCTGTAAGAGGTACCTACATGCCCTCTTTTTGATGTAATCGGGCCACGGAAAGAACCAAGGCATGTTAGATTGTACACTGTAAATACATATGAAACAGTATTATCAGTATACAGTAAAACCTAACTTATTTGTGTCTCCGGCTCACTCAACTCAAACCAAAACAGTGTGTACGCCATTGTCAATGACGTCATGAAAAAAAAGCTGAGGAAACTTGTCTGATTCTTTGAAATGTCTCATGAGCAGTTTGTTATTATTTTCATTATTGAAAAAAAATTAACAAAAAACGTTTAGTTAACTACAAAGTGTTTTTCTCAAAATACGATTAAATACATGTAATGGGTCAGAGGTGAAATGTGAAGGATTAAATGGCATGAGGGCGCTCTAACTAAACAATTTCACGTGCGTTTTTGAATCCGCGCGCACGCCGTCTAGTCTGCGATTTACAACAACATATTTTGGGTGTGTCAACTTGTGAAAGTGTTTTGTCAGAACTAGCAGTGTAATTTTCATATTTTGTGTGACATTTGCCAACCCCGCAATTACTTTGAACACATTTCAACTGAAGAAGAAGTGAATCAAATATGTCAAGTTCAAGGCGTCAAAGAACGAGAAGAGGGGCACTCCGTGTTCTTCCTGCCAATGATGATAACTACTTTGATTCTGATGACGATAAAGAAGAAGTCCCGAAAAAAGCTGAAATTAACACAAACACCAGCAAAGTTTCTTCCACGATAGCTAAACTTGTAACCTGTTCTGTAGCCGGTATTATTTTTGGATTCGCCTGTGAAAAAGGACGAGGTGGGTATGAAGTCTAACGCTGATAGACTGCACAAAACGTAAACTTTTATAAATGTGCTATTTACGTCATCTTATTTAAAATCATATTAAGACAAGATAAACAGCTATAATTCTTTCCCAATGTTAATGACCTAGTGTCCTTTATGTAGGTCAAGTATTATTTACATTCAGAGATACTAAAGTGATATATATATATATACCATTTAGTAATATAATACTAATATCGCTAAATATTTGGAAACATATTCCCTTATATTTGACATTTGTACACAAGACTGTCTTTCGGGGTCAATGATATTTAGGAAAATATTTGTTCACAATTTCATAGACCTTCTATAATCACAGGGAGCCCATGAACTATAATAATAATATAATAATATAATACGTGCTGTAACTGGCTTGGTAATTCCAACCACCAATTATAGTATCACACCATTTTGACTAGGTGTGGGTACATAGCTCTTCTTGTGTCTGTCTCTTGTCTCTGTGATGGAATTTTACTAATTTCATTTGGTGTCCCTAAAGTTGTTATTTTTTGATATTGAAGTTTTATCATCACAGAAGAGCTATGGTTCCTCCCATAGAATTGCGTAACACAAACGTGCAACAAGAACCATTTCCTCACATCATGCAATCAAAACTATCACCAATTGATAGCATGTTTAAAACACTTACCAGCGCGAAACCCGCCACAAAAATGATCAGTTTCAAGTTTTACCCGGTATGAGTTTGCTAAATCATAGAAAACTATAGTGACAGCCATTTTCTTGAAGTCAAACTAGGACAAAATTACCTGGCTCAATGACGTCACTGTAGTAGAACTTTCCTCGGAAGGTGGAACAGCTAAAAACGCCTGGAAATTCTGCTTCTATCAGTAGTTTTCTATGGACCTTGTGGTATTTACTGTTGTATATTTTTCCTACATTCCACACGCATGGAAAAACATTTCCTTGTACATTACTCTCAAAAGAGTGGCTAGCTGAAACTGACATCATGTTCACTTTATGGGAGTATCTATCGGGACTACCTACTCCAGTGACTTTATATCTGTCACCAGAGTTACGTGAGGATGAAGCACTAAAGAAAAAGAACATCAAACTAATCTTTTTTTTTTTCATTTTGGTGAGAATTTGATAAACATTATGGATTAGTGATAGTTTTGATGGCATGATGGGGGGAAGATATTCTGCTTTTTTTGTGCAATGCCATTTGATGTCGCACATTTGTGTTACATGTATTTGTGTTATGAGAGGAACCAGAACATTTTTGTGTAGATAAAATACCGCCGTACTTCCCCAATCATAAGCCCAGGGACCTGAACATGTAAAATCTGGTAAATCAGAGGTCGGCTTATAATCAAGGACCACCTCAGAAAAGATATTGGGGGGGGGGTAAATTGTAACTATTTTCTCACTCACAAAGGTACATGTATGTCTTTTTGAGGAGGGAAATGCGAAATAAGCCGTCAATTGATTGAATACTTTTTACAATGAAGAAACAAACGTGTTCATAAACATACACACATTTTATTACAATACGATTTACATACCGTCTGAATTTACAATGCAAAAATGGGTAGGAGCTGTGGGAAAACAGTCGAAGGCAAGATCTTTATCATTATCTTTGTTGTGGAATGTTTCGATCGTACACAAACTCTCAATCATCATGATTTGATCTGAACAACTTCCTCTGAATGAAATTAATGTGAGTCTTTTTGTAAAAGCAAGAACCAAACTACTGTACCATTCACAATTGTTATGCACTGAAATACACTTTTTACATGCACATTTTAATAAATGTCATCGACACTCAGTAAAACACCCTGGGCCTATACTCGGGGATGCCCTCAACTCGTTAAATGTCTAAAAAGGAGGGATGGGCTTATACTCAGGGAGGGGCTTATGCTCGTGGAAGTACGATAATACTGTACTAAGCCAAGTCGCGTCGCGTTATTCACCATGCACTGTGAAATTATTGTGAGTTTTCATGTAAAAGCATGAACCAAACAGCCTTTGTCAAAAAAGAGAACTAACTTCTCAATTACAATTTTTATGCAATGAAAATGTATATTTTAATAAATTTAAATCCATTGTCGATACCCGGTAAAAACACCCTAGGCCTATAACCGGGGATACCCTCAACTCGTTAAATGTCTCAAAATAAGGTGTGAGCTTATACCCAGGGAAGGGGCTTATGACCAAGGAAGTACAATATCTAAAAACAACAAATTTAATGATACCAAATGTATCTGAAATACTAAAATTCTATCAAGACTAAAGACCAACAACATGGACCCACAGCTCACAAATTCAAAATCACTTTTGATTTACTTTGCATGTGTACTATGATTGCATTTAAAGTTTTTATACTTTTAATGGGTGTACAGATTTTGATACATACATGTAAAAGTACCCGAATCAACATTGTTTAAATAAGTATAAGTATACAGGAATGAGAATTTTCTGTGGAATTCCACGGATTTCTAAGCCCCAGGGATCGATTTTCTGAAACGTCTAAATCCGAAGATAAAATTTTAGGGGGTATTACAAAAAATACAAATCATGGTCATTCACCGGAAGTAAACAGTAAACACGCGTCATTGTTGCTGCAAGAGGCCTGTATCAGTGTATGGTCGAAAGGAGACAACTCGCGGTGTCTCCAATGCAGAATCTTCGCGACTCTTTTCATCAGTGCAATCGTAAAATCCGAAGTGGTTTCAAAGTATTCAAAGTAATATGTAACGATTAATATGATTGACTGAGTTTGCTCTGACGGGCCAATCAGTGAAGAGCTTTCATTTTTTTTTTCACCAATGTGCCATTTTATTGTTTCAATTGTTTGCTGCGTTGGATCGTTGTTTACAAGTTTCATGCAGCGATAATGGTGAAATTGGTTACAAAAGACAATGAGTCAGCTGTGCGAGAGATCGATAAAGACATTAGGAACAAATTTTGTTGGGCATGGCTTGACAAGAAAGTGACTTTGATTGTGCAAATCAGGAAGAAAGATGAAGTGGTAACTGAAAAATTGAGTGACTTCATCGGCAAGTGCAAGGTCCCGGGAAAGGTGCAGTGTCTGTGTTGTAACGATTTGATCAACTACGGTTCTCGGACCCCGGCTACTTTACTTTCAGCTGAAAATTAAAATTCTCATTCTCATCCCTGAGTATATTATTGTGTTCTCCATCATTGGTATGATGATAGAAAATATAGGGTTACCGATGCATGTTTCCTGCCTATCCAGAATGGGTGTTGGGGGAGGGGGTTAATTAATCAATGAGCAAAAATCTTGTGAGAATTTGCAGATTACCTTTTGATTTCTTTGATCCACATGATTGGTACAGTAGCTTCACCCTAACACAAATTGTTTTGGAAATTTGTTGAAATGAGAATAATTTTTAACATGTGCACTGCATAATGCTTTAGACCGAGCTGATTCTGTTGATATGAACTTACTCTCTAGCATAAGATTATGATCTGTGGTCAGTTGCCTTGACCGATTTTCTACAGATTTGTTATGATGAATGAACAGATTCACATCACGTTTTGATTTACAATTACAAACTGGGGTCTATTTTCTGTTTGTCATTCAATCAAAAAGCATTGCCAGTACCATTGTGATTTTTAAAATGCACTATAATCAGGCATTTTAAAATGTCTTCAACTAAATCTTGCACATCGGTAGTCTTATTTTCAAACTCACTGAAGGTCTGAAATGTTAACCATGGCTTGTTAAATTTTAATCTTATCTGAGCAGTTCAGTAACAGTTGCAAAACTAAGCATGCAAGCTTTGCCAATATGAACCATTTTCAAATGTGTTTATCTACTTGACATGCACTTGAACTAAACAGAATAGACTGGACCGCATTTATCAATACTTTATGGCAACATTCCTTGAAAAGTATTTACTGCTTATTTTTTCATTTCAGTTTTCGAGCCCTCTATCATACGAGACCAGATGTTATTTACTAAATTTCTGATGTTAAAGATGTTTTTGTCCGCTGTGACATCTAGCATGGTAGTATTCTCACTCCTGTCCATGCTACCACCAACTTCAAAATACTATGCCGCAGCACGTAGAGAGTTTATGGCAACAATGAGATCAAGGAGTATTCTCTCAAGTATCATTGGTGGAGCTATGCTTGGAGCGGGAATGACTCTCTGTGGAGCGGTGAGTACATATATTTTGTGGTTGGCACTGTATTGCAACATTTGTGTTAGAAGTGTGCAAGATAAATATAACAAACAAATTAATGATATCTAGGAGTATAGAT